ACTTGCACAATCGGTGGCTGACTAAATACTTTTTTGCCCCACTGTATCTCAATACTTAATAGTATGTATTAAGCATGTATTAAGATGCATTTTTATAGCCCGATATTAAAACACAAAAAAAAGATTTTATTGTCTCAGTGCAAATGTTCCCCACTCATAAATACAGTGGGAATTTATTCTTATAACTCTCAAGTCTAAATATTGTTATCTAGACAGCTGTTAAGTCTTAGAGTTAAGGGCATAGTCCATTTGACTGACAGGCAGCTTCCAGTTACTCCAGTCACGCTTGACCTCTCGGTTTGTGGTGTTGGTGCCTTTTGGAGCATTTATAATTAAATTACCTGACAAATGATATGGTTCGCTGTGTAGCTAATTATGACATGTTGTGAGGTTGGTTCTGGCTTGGCATTAATTAGCTGGTATCTGTTTCTGTGAAACCGACCTGCAGAGTGTACAGATACAGCTTACCAAACAAGCTTGTTTTTACTAGCTTATACGTCAACTCACCAACCTCTAGTTATTAAAAAAGTACACAAAATTAACATGCTGACACTGAGGCATTAAAATGCAGAGTTCAGAAACCAATGCATGATGTCATGGTGGCTATGTCTGTTTTTATATCCTACTTTCAGCTTTCAGCTCTACCTAATTCACAAGGACTTGCCACTGTTACATTTTTACACACTATGTCCTTCCTGATACAACTCCCAAGGGATTTGTGTCCCCTAGAGTCAAACTCAGGGCTATGGAGCCACTCTGTCTGACTTCATATAAATTCAGACAAGATAAGAAGAGATCTTAACTCTGGGAATACTCTAAAGTAATAAGACTAAAAACTTTGAAGCCTTCTTCTTATTTTGTTTATACTTTTGCAGTAATTTTAATAAACGTAATACAGCCTGCTGCTTCTGCTTCTTTTTTGGGTGATAGTGGTTTCTTAAAATAGTTTAAACACCACTTGAATTGAGGAATTCATTCAGTATAAATCAGCAGGCTACACACTTACTTCATAGTTGTAGTCCTAAACCCTCGGGGGTGTGGAGTTCAATCAGAAACATATCTGACTTTGTGTTTGAGGTATTCTGCTGTAAAATGAGTACTAACGTCTGCCAGCATGTCATGTTTTTCCCTTTGAGAGATGGGAAGGAGGTTTAAATTGATATAACCATCATCTGTGTTTTTGTGATTTATGGAAACTGAAACTAGCTATGTACTTGCTTTTAAAAAAAGCCCCCTGTGTGTAGCATCAAACAAAAACTACACAAGACAACAACGTGCTTAAAATGTAACTCTTAGTAAAAAACCCACACGGGACTCAACTCTGAAGACGTGAATGAAGCTGGGTCTCCAGTTTACAACACTTTAACGGTAAATTAATAATGGCTAAGACTTTTTTGCTTAATGGACAAGGCTCTCCCCGTCTCTGCCGTACACGTGTCTTTCTAGAGAAATCTGACTAGATGACCTGCTGCTTTCCACTCTAAGCTCCTTACCCACGATGTGCACTGGGAACAGAGCCACGCTGGCTCGTCATCAGCCTGTACTGCTACACGCTACAAAGGCTGAAAAACCAACAAGCGCACACAGTCGTAAGCGTAATAATTCATCCATGAGCACAATTATCATTATTCATCGCTTAAGTTTACCAGTCACATGTGAATACAGTCACATTTTCAAACAACAAAGGGCCATGTACAAAAAAAGTGTCTTTGTCACCGCCTGTTAGCACCATAGTGGTACAAAGAAAGATGGTATGGCAATGCGGGTAAAAAATGTACATTAAATCCAAGCATTTTTTGCGTGTTTACGTGTTTGTGTGTATGAGTGGCCTCACCGTGTGGCCAGTTTATGGCTGATGACGCCACTGTCCGTGATGACTTCACTCAGACGAAGCTCCAGGTGCACTTTTCCCTGCATGACACAAAAACAGAGACACCTGTTATTAGCCCATTGTTTGTCCACTGAGAACACAGCATAAAATTCAGCCCTCTGCAGATTTTTACCCTGATGTGTGTACAGGAAATACAGTTGGTTTGTGTAACAAGACAAATTTCTGCTAAATCTGAAACTGAAACCGACATGCAATCTGGTGCAAACTTGGTGTTTCTTAATCTTATCTAAGGCGTGAAACAGTTTCTCAGAATAGGACCGATCCATGGAGAGGGAGTTTCATTCAACACACACAGAAATACGGAGTTATTTATCTCTAATAAATCCCCACACAAAACAAAAACACACAATCATGAACAAGTGGAACTCCTTCAGTAACAGAGACACTGTGAAAATATCTGAGCCTGAACATCATGCTGAAGTTATTCTTCCTCTGAAGTGATTGGATTAATGACATGATGACAGTGCAGCGATGCAGCTGTCTAGAAAAACTCCATTAATTAACAGCATCAGTATGCAAACCTACAGGCGTTGGCTCTTTCTGCACGATTCAAGCTGAGAGAACAAACACACGCACACTTTACACACACATGTGCACACAGGCAAAACAATGTGTCCTCTATTGAAAAGAGAAGAGAGACACTCTATCTTCCTACTTCATCTGATCCATCACATTCACTTTTCTCTCTCTTGTCTCATTCTCTCACACATCCTTCCTCTCCCCAGCTCCTCGCATGAATGTCTCTCTGTTTCAGACCACTGCTCTAGGGCTACACACACCCATCTGTCTGCAGATGTTACTGTTCACTGTTCACTGTGTCTCACACTCTGTGTGTGCACGTGTGTGGGTGAGTGACACTGCTGAATAGTGAATAGTAGAGAATACTGCACATGTAATAAATAAGTATGGTGGACAAGTGCTATAAAACGAAATCTGTACATATCATAACAACAAGTTGAAGACCCTACAATATTAAAACGAAAGAAACCCCAACAATCACACAACCCCTCTGCGAGCAAGCACTTGGTAAATGTGGGAAGGAAAAACTCCCTTTTAACAGGAAGTAACCTCCAGCAGAACCAAGCTCAAAGAGAGTCATCTGCCGCGACTGGCTGTGAGCGAGGGGAAAGAGGACAAAGCAACTGACAGACACATCAGTGGTAACAGAGAGACTGCAAACAGTGCTACACTGAACATTAAAACGACCCTTCATACAGCGCTGTCCTTTAATCTTCCCGCAAACACTTCTTTTATCTTTGTCATACAAGATGAGTCAATGAAAACAAAAACCTGCAGTCCAAACATAAGCTCTCACATCTGTCAATCAGCTGACATTTAGCCATTAATTTCATTCATTCATGGCAAATAGAGAGCATAGAGTAATATTATAAAAGCTGCACGTTAACTCTTAGAGGTGAACAAATGTTGTTTATGTAGACACAGAGACGCAGGTGACTTTGACCCTCCAGTCTCAAATGTTTCAGGTGCACACACAGTCTGTTTGTTTGGGTTCTGCCCCAATTCAGACACAAACACACAGATGCACTACATCTATACATGGTGGAGGGAAGGTGTAATATTTAAAAGTTTTGATATGAGTACATTTAAAACACTTGTATTTCCGTACCAAAACAGTGCTGTTTAGTACCTTATCTTCAGGAATATGATTTTTAAGCAGGGCCCTTTTCCCTTAAACCAAACAGCTTATTAAAAGAGGATTTACTGTATGAATAAGTAAAGTGACACAAGTTCTTAACATTAGGTACCCTAATTGATATTAGATTAAGGACAGACCTAAGCTAGTGTTTGCCACTATAGCTCACAGGCAACCCATGTATCAAAAACTAGTGTCTGCTAATGTTGGCTAAAGGCAACTAATATTAGCTGAGGTGCCACTATAGCTCACCGGGTTGATCAGGTGACCCATGTACTGAAGGCTAATGTTTGAAAATGTCAGCTAATGTTAAAAACTTCAGCTAGTGTTAGATAAAGTTAGCTAACATTAGCTGGGCTATCAACACATAAAATGAAGACTGGTAAGTAATGTAAATTCATGTTTGCTAAGTTTAGCTTGAGGTACTGTTAGCGAAAGTTAGCTAACATTAGCTGGGGTACCACTGTGGCGCACCTGGTTGAGAAGGTGACCTTAGCCTAGTATTCAGTATTGAAGGCTAATCAGAATTGATTCTGATTAGCAAGCACTAGCTAATGTCAGCTAGCCTATTCTTTCAGGTGCTCTGTTATTCACAGGGGCGGTCGTCACAGCAGCAGGAACTACATATTTGATTTGTCAGATTTTTTACACCAGATCCCCTTCCTGATCCAACCCTACCAGAGATTTGTGTCTATACCTGGTCTCGAATTGGGGCCCTTTCATGTGCTGGGTTAAAATTTTAAGACTTTGAGACTTTAAGATTTTACCTGACAATGTGTTTGCCACCAAGTGTTTAGTTTATATTAAAAATCAAAAGGAATAAACTCACATCGAAACAACAGTGGCACCAACAAATAAAAGGAGGGTGATAATGAAGCAATGTGGGCTTACAATAATCTAATACAATGTCTTTTTTCACACTATGTTTTTTTGTGAAAATTTTCAAAGAAGCTTATCAGTGTACGGGGAAAAAAGGGGAACATGACTGTGCAGCTGTGTGATGGGATTAATGCTGTGAACTGTTAAATTTGCATTAAGTGGAGAAATTAGAAATGCTATTATAAGACTGACCCAAATAAAGGGTTTCTCTTACCAGTGATGATTTATGGTTTAGGTTTGCTTTGAATGTTGACTGACATTAAAAGTATTTAATGCCAGCTTTCAATTTTAACTGTACACATTTTTAGGGGAGATATAAAAACCCTTTAAAGCTGTAGAAAAAAACAACAACTAGAGATTGTACAAAAAGAGAGGAAGAGATGAAAAGTGCACACTTAGTTTTGTTATAAAAGTATGTCTCCGTGTCTTTGTACTGACCTGCACCTCTGAGTCAGCGCTGACAGGTTGTAGCTGGAACCAGGTGTCTTTCCCGTGATATTTCTGCAGGTCCTCTTTCTTCACGGCAACCTTGCCTACGCACATGTTAGCACACAAAGATAAATGAGCTGAAAAACACAACTCAATTCATGCATCCCAAAAAGCCTGCGTACTTCAGTGTGACGTAGATCGTGAATGCTTGACAAACTCTTACACAAATACTTACATGTCTGCTCATGTACTGTAAAACCACATGCCAATTGCTTTTTAATGCACACAGTCACCTGGCACAGAAATACAACAACGTGCATTTCAGTACCCTGGAAATGACTCCAGTCATTTCTTTTCTGAAATCAGTCAGAGCAGGGGTTTGCAACACCCACAGACATTAACACACATACCCACACACACATAAATTTTTCCATTTGTGTGTGTGGTGCTTGAGACCTCACACACACCCACGCTGCATATCCAAACCCACCAGTACACACTGACACACCCAATGATAGAAACATCCGCCCACACAAACAAACACACACCTTTGACACGTATTTGTAGCCAAAACATTGTTCTGCGATAAAGCAGTCATACCCACTATACAGATACACATATATGATGGTATATATATATACATATATATATATATATAATATATATATATATATATATATATATATATATATATATGCAGTTGTGGTCACAAGTTTACATACCATAATCGTGGGCATCAATGTTTCACGATAATTTGGGGGCTTTTAACGATTTGTTTGAACTGTAACGATCATGTTTGACTTTAGCTGGTAGTTTGTCTTTGCCAGCAATAAAGGATTTGTTTGACAGCACTCATTGGATTGATCAATACTGAGAACAATGGAAATGTCCAAGGAACTCAGTGAAGATCTAAGGAGAACTCAAGATTTACACAAGTTGGGAAGGTCTCTTGGAGTAATTTCCAAACAAGTGCAAATTCCAAGAACATCAGTTTAAAAACTGAATGTCAGTACAAGTTATTCTGATGTTTCACCTCAAAATCCAAACTGCCAACCTCAGATGAGAGGTTTTGGGCAGAAAAAAAATAACATTTTAAAAAGGAAATAATGCATCCTTAGCTGTTGCTGTAATTGATGGTGTTTGAAAAGGTGTCCCAACCCAGAACAGAGAGATCCTGGATCGTGGGAAAAACATCAATGAAACATCAATGAGTCTGTACGTTGCCATGGAGACAGACACTGGTACCTATTGATGGTTCTGTAGAAATAAGTATGAGAGACCAGTCGCCCACGATTGCAAATCAAAACACAGGAAGTGAAGCGTGGTTGAGTCTGCGGTAGGTGCTGGACTGGATCAGTGGGAGGGACGCTCTTGTTCCGCTCTGACTGGCTGTTTCCCTTTCATTTAACAGCTGATGTGCTGAGCATGGAAAAAGGTTAAGTCAGCTAAATGTCAGCTGTGACCTTCACTAAGGTGCTATTTTTGATTTTACACCCTCAGCACAAATGAATGGTTTCACCAGGTGCGTGCATCCACCTAAACAAACTTCCTTGCAAAAAGAATAACGACACCACCGCCATGCTTGCATCGTTCTGCATTATGCTCTCATGCAGCTGTTTTTGTTTATTTAAACCTGTAAAAATCTCGAGTTGTGACTCTGTCACTTATCTGGCTCTGCCTGCCTACGATGGAAGCGCCTAATCAGATACGGCTAACAATTTAACATCCAATCACAGGACAATGCCTAAAAACAGTGGGAGGTTTGAGTAAGAACAGTAAAAACCTGTGGTGAGTATATTTACCATGGCCCCCCACGCAACATATAACTTGTTTGTCTGTGTTTACACTTATACACTGAGCTGCTGCACTGAGGTTTGTCTCAGCATGCCTGCTCTGGGACAGAGGACAGAGAGCTCAACAGTTGAAGCAAAGGGTGGGTGGGTGGGGTGGGTTTCACACTACAGAATTTTGCCTTGGTTTCAGAATCGTTACGCCCGTAGCGAGAGGTGAAACGGTGAGGTTTTTTTTATCGAGAGGAGCAGTTGCCTACTCACCGATACTGGAGTCCCTTCTGAAGACATCCCTGTCGAAAATGTAAAAGGAGAGGTGCCTGAAGCTACGCGGGATCTCGCAGTAGAAGTCCTCCCCGTAGAACGGACTGCAGGAGAGAAGAGAGGAACTGTGATCAGTCTGATAAAGCAAGCTGCACGACTAACACAGATGGCGAGATTTTGAAAGTTGAGAGAAGAAATTCAGGTCACATGTCTGCAACATGTTCTGGACAAAGAGATATAGCAAAATGCAGATTCAAGTCACGAATGCAATGAAAGGCTTTGGAATTATTCAAAGAAAAAATGATCGGATCTTTCATTATCATGAGAAACTATTGGTTTAGATAGAGAAGTCATACTGAGAAAGACAGTGTGCAAGTTTTTCTTGGTATTGTGAATGCAGTGGGTTTCAGTACCACTGTACCCCTTTACAGCCTGTTGTGAACCATGCCATTTAAGTGGTGCTGCATTATCTTCGACACCAAATAACTGCCTTTTAATTCATTTATTTCATCTTTGTCTGGAAACAGCGTCATATTTTAAAGTAATACTTTCACTACTATAGCAGTATTTCAATGTAAAGTATTCTATGAAATACAAGATGTCGTGCTTGGAAAGTAACAAAGCAGCCTATCAAGTTTAAAGTGAGCTAATTGATGGACTGGTTGGTTAATCTGCAAACTATTCGTGCCTCCACAGTATTTTTCAGTGTTGTCTGAACTGGTGTGTCTTAGTTGGGGTAAGGTAAGGGTACATTCCCCTCTGTGTAAACATCACAGCCACATTTATTTTTCTTTCCTTGTTCAGCAGTGATTGATTTTGTCAATGAATCACATGAGACAATGAAAATAAAGCCCTCGCGGGCTAAGTACATTTCGACTCCATCGATTTAGTCTCTGCTTTCCCTCAAGTGTGAGCAACAGCGCAGATATCATAAAGTGAAAATAATAGTAGTTATTGGTCTGAGGAACACCGGCTTAGTCTGTTTAGATGGCTCATTTTCTCCCTTGGCGTTGGTCGTATGTGAAGATGTGACAACCGTAATCCCACTCAGATGGTCTCAGTCTGATGCCAAAAAAATACAAATATTAGGACATCTTTCCTATATTTTATCTTGTTCTCCTGCCCTAGATGCATCTTGACAACAAGCAGACTGAATGTTTTCACGTCGTTTGTAGTGACGCGTTTCGGTTGGCTTGGAGTTTTCTCTGCGTGAACAGAAACCAAACCACAGGAAAAAGCTACAGATTACAAACTCATCCACTGGTTGAGACCAGAACAAACTATAGGTCATATATATGTCAAAACATCTTTAGGCCGTACTGAGGTTTTGCAGACATGTGACCACTAACCACATGTAACCATGTAAACGTCTGATATTTTAGATATGTAACAGTCATTGTGACAGTATAGGTTTAAGTTAACTAGTCACACAGGTCTGGAGACTGGTCTGCAACCGGCAACAACTGTCGCTAGGGACAAATGGACAATATTTCCTGAACGGCTGACTTAAAACTTTTTGTGATTTCTTTTGTGATGGACACTGCACAGCTACTCTCGGAGCTGTAGTGAAACTGTGCAGCAAACCTGGAAATGGAGGAGGTTCACCTTCAAAATAAAAGTTGTGCCTTTTAAAACATGTTGTCTTTGAACCATCTCCACTATGGTGGACACGCTGACATCAGGTGAGACACCTCAATCGTTTTCCCTTTCCAGCTGCCATTTTTAATACTCTGGTGCTTCTTTTTGTTTAAATTCATGATCAGCTTTGCCTTTAGGTATTATTTAAATGTCGCAACTGCATATTTCTGTAACTACACACCAAAAAGTTTAGAAGCAAAGTTAAAAAGACAGAAGTAAAAATGGACAGGTGGGCCTGTACCAAAGTGACTTCTCCACAATCTTGGTCCTGAAGACTTCCTCTTGGTCCAGGTTGACTGTGCAGTAACAGTCCCTCATCTTGTTTGGCCCCGGGTACGGAGGGATGTTTTTTTGCTTCTCCTGCACAATGAAAAGAACAAAGGAGGCATATTAAGTAGGAAAAAAACAATGTGTTTATTCAGGCTACAGGTCATTATTTATTAAAGAACTAGGAAAGGGTTGAAAAGAAACATTATGTAAAGTTTGTTGTTTTAGAGATGAGTGTATGAAGGAGGGAGGAGGGGTCCAGAGCTGGTACAGTGTCCCAACGCGCACTCTCATTGTCATTACCTAACCACATCCGACACCATGTATAATGAGCTTAGCTCTGCCAGGGCGGCTGTTTTATGTGCAGATATATAAAACCGTGGCCTCAGAAAACAATGTGCGACATGTGAACGCCGTGTCCGCGAGCATGCCTGTGTCTGTGATGTAACATCTGTGAATGAATGAATCTGCGTGGGACACTTCCTGTATGTCAAACATGTGTGTCAGCACTCCCTTTAACAAAAATGTGATCCAGCCACCCACCGAGACACACAAACACACAAACCGGAGAGGTGTACTCTGGTCCCGCAGGGCATATTTATTCTCATTTATGAAGACGTGCATCCACTTTAGCCATTACCCTCTTTACCCTGGGGGGGACTCACAGTGTTAACCATCATTGTGAACGTCTGCTTGAGTAACGCTTCATTGTGTGTGTGGTTATCTGACACTGCTAGCATACGCTGCTCTGTTATTTCTGGCTTTAAAACGTCTTCACAGTAAGAAGCATTAGTTTAAAGGGCGGGTGATGCTATTTGATAAATTGACACTTTCTCTTTAAGGCAGTACTTCTCTTTATCCACATTTCTGCCTTTTACATTACCTTACCTCATATTTAGCATGTCTCCTTATGTTTTTATCCTTTAAAGAGGATCCTATTAAGATTTCTAGAGCCCCGATGAGGAACTCCTCCATCATCCTGCGTCACTTTGTATTTATCTTGGGAGTGAATCCACACATTAGGAACCACTGCCTTATCATATGATACATAACAATATAAACTTTGATTACATTTACTGCACCAGGAAACACATCAGAGATACTAAGCCAGAAATCTCCACTGCCAGGTTTCCGACCCTGCGGCTGACCCTAGGGGGGAGGGGAGAGAGTTGACATTTGACACCAAATAGCCGGGCGTGAAACTGCAAAGCAGATGGCTATCTTCAAATTATTTTTCCTGTTTGTCAGTATGGCTGCACATTAATGCAGCAGCCCCACTAAAGTTCCACTCAATCAGCCCTACCATAAATACTAAAACATAATTCCCCTGCTGGCATTATATAATCAAGACTTCCCGATAACCGCATCTTATCACAGAACCAGGAAGGTGGGGCAAGATGTTCCACATTTCCTTCAACGAATCCCACAAGGAAAATTCAAAACAATCAGTCAAATCAATGATTTGCTGACAATGCAAAACACAAGATGTGTCCTTTGAGCGTTTTCACAATGCGCTGTTGTTACTCCCACTCGTTTTTTGTAAAATAGATAGCAGGCAAGCAGCCAGCTGCAAGGAAGATACGATCTGGTGCCTCCACCTTCAGTCCGTGACGCTGGATAAACCTTAAACCCTCGCTGAGACAAACAAAGATGGTGAAGTGCACCCTGTGGGTCTGTAATACAACACGGTGTTATGACTGCTTCTCTGGAGGCTGATTCGTGCACTGCGTGATTCGTGCACTCAACAATTCACAATAACAACATTCATTCACAAATTAAGACGACACCTGAGCTCTGGAACAGGACACACGCAGCACCGCTTTGACGTATTGATGCAAACTATACAGCTCCATCTGCCTTTCAAGATGATGTAACTGCCTCTCATCTCTGTCTTTATCCCTTTACTTCCTACTGTCATTAGAGCTCCCTTGCTTCCGCAGCTCTCATTTATTTTCTCATATTTACTTTATCGCCGTCCCGTAATCCTCCTCATTCACCCCGAGCACCCGAATTCCCTCCAATCTCCGTTTTCCACCTGCTTTCATTCACGAACTGCAAGATTGCAGATTGCACTCATCCTGGTGACCAGAAACATCATGGAATTACCACAGCGTTCCCAGTGAGCGTGCTTAAAGCGTGCAAATGTGTTTAATGACTCAACTTAGTAAAAACAAAAACAAAACCAGCACAGATTAAATCAATTTTTTTTAAATCAGTCTTGAGATAATTCAAGGGGTTAAAAGTTTCAAATCATGAGGTCTTACAAGGAGCTTGTAAACAGTGTTGTTGTTTTTTTTACAGTAAAGTTAGTAACTTTACATAGATGACTCAATATAAGCAGGGCAAAGTCTCATTTTTATTTTTAAGTTCCCACAATAACCGACAGGATGTGCAAAATGATTTTGGTGACACTACTCTGCCCAAATTGCATGTTTTTGCAGTATCTAAGTGTTGCACTTTGTAAACAGACTGTGCAAAGTGATCTAACAGCGCGTCTTTCCAGCGCTAGATGGTGGGTAACAACCATTTAATCAAAATGATGCAGTAAGTGGAGAACTGAAATCGTCCCACAGCAGCTAAACCACCAAAGATATATCATCCACTTTCAACTATTTATGGTTATTCTGGACAGAAGCTGCCAACACCTTTTGAATCTGATTGTGGGTTGAAAGATTGAAATGATGGTTTGAAGCTATATGTAATATGTGGACTGTATATGTAGACAATCTGGGAACATTAGGTAAAAACACAAAACTTAATCACTTGTGCGGTCAAGTGATTTAGAATAGAGTTTAATGTTCATACAAATTAGAAACAGCATAATGGGGGTGTTGACACCTATGAGTTCAACATAAAGAATATAGTTCTACGACTGCCAATGTGTCGTATCTCCTGCACATATTCAGGTCAGGTGATTACTGAAGCCTCTAAATGCAGCTGTTGTGATTTGGCGCTATATAACTAAAACTAAATTGAACTGAATTTAATTAAATGAAGGCAAGTTCGAAGTGTTCCTCATACAGCCATCTGAAACTGGCACCAAAAGTGAGTTAATAATATTTTAGTGTGAAAACGCACATCTTTTTAAGTTGGCATAAAAAACTGTTTTCGACGCACTTTAGCTAGCTAGCTAGCTTACTAAGCTTACTAGCTTCACTTTGGTAATATTCCAATGAAAGTTGGAGCCAGTCTAAAGGTGTGATTCTAGGATTTGCAAGCTTAGCTACCTGCACATTGGCTTCATTTTCCAGACCCTGATTGATTAGTAGAGCCTACACATTCCTGAGGAGCAGCCTGTCAGATTAAACATGATACAACCACCAGTCTCTAGAAAAAAGCGTCCACTCCTGGACTGGTTAGCGAGTGGCTGCTGAGAGAAATCGGTCACAGTGAGGGTGGTCACTAGCAGATTGTCACAGTCACCCATAGTTTACATGGAAGACGCTGGCTTGTCTGCAAACGCTCACTAACTACTAGCCAAGCAGTAGCATAATTTGAAAAACTGTGTTGCAAACCTGAAACTGAGAAGACCTTGCTTCAAAGTAAAAAGGTGTGCCTCGATGCAAAATCCAACATGCTTCACAAGGCACAACTTCTACTTTGAAGGTGAACTGGCAGTTTCACTATAGTTCTGGGTCTTGGCTCATTCATGGTCTTCCATGAAAAACATGACAACCACGACAATCCACTAGTGAACAAAGCAATCTGAGGTTTTCCCCAACAGGAAATACACATTTTTACCCAGCAACCTGTGGTTGCCAGGGAACAATGGCCAGTCTCCAGGCCTCTGTGGCAGGAGCTTGAGCAATCGACTTCAGAGCAACTTCCTCCAACCTCGAGCAACACTCCCCAACTGTTTGTCAGATGGTCGGGAACCAGCTGTCACACCCATAATGTCCAAACCTAGCATCTCATGATTAGCGGTCACTCGACTTCAACATCTCGATACTTAACACTGTGCAAGCAAGCAAACACACAACATCAGAATCAAGCTTGAAGAAGAATCTTCTTGATTTCCCACCTTCGGCCTTGCATACTGAACAGCCTGAATACACTGTGCTCGAGTGCCTGTAAGCACATCAGAACAGTTACTGCTTCCAGCTGCGTTACTGTGCAATTTACAAGCTAAAATAAAGGCAGCTACAATAAAGGATCACAGTGTTTCCATGCTGTGCTTTACTGAGGAACTAAATGAAACTGGCTGCTGCCTCAATGCTCAGAAAATGATCGTATGCTCTATAAAGACGACATGATCGGTAGTAAATATGCCAAACCATCTGTCTTTACCACAATTAGAAGTACAGTGTGACAGTTTCCTGTTCAGGAGAGGAAGAAGCGATGGACCGTTTTATTTATCTGGATGATGACCAGGAGAGTTTGTCAGCCTGAGAGTGGAGCATACAAACTCCACTTTTAGATATTTGTGTGTATATGTTTGATGGCGAGTGAGTGAGCCTGTTACAAAAGAAAAGATAAGCCTCTTCAGTAACCTGCCATTCATCATGTTAGATTAAAGACTTTATTATAAAACCAGAGTCTGTAATCCACTGTCTCAGCCTGCCTATCATTTTCTTCCTTTTATCCCTTTTCTCTTTTGGTCTGAAGCCTCCTTTGTTTGCGTTTTTATCAGTGCAGGACTTGTCTTTCACGCCTGCTTTCGTTTTCCCTTTCAAGATAAACTTTAACCTGATTTCACTTTCCCTACATCTCATGCTGCTTCCTTTTTTTTTCATCTGTTCATTTTTCAACTTCTCCAGAGCTGTGTGCGCGTGTGTGTTCTCTCGCGATTCATAATAAGCAGAAAATATGGAAAGAAAACCAACAACAACAGCAGTTTTTGTTTTCTTTTCATCAAGCATCACCGCAGCTGCCCTTGGAGAATATCCTGCCCTAGTATCTGAGCAAAACAAGCAAACACACACACACACACACACTTTGCACGTGTTTCTGTGTGCACGCAAAACAGGGGAGGCACTGAGCTGAGATGACAGGAGAAGAGTGAACAGCCGAATGAGACACTTAAAAAGAAACTTTACATCCCTGCAGAGGAAAGAAAAAAAACAACGGAAGAAATGAGGAAACGGAAGTCGGCG